GCTGGAGCCAGCTGGAGCTTGAGTTAGGGTTTCCCTATAAAAAAGGGAAACCCTGTTCACACAATTCAGTTAGCGGAACTTTTCAACAGAGAAGAAAATTTTCTCTGTGGTGGCGGCTTTTACTTCCAGCTGACATTCTCTGATTTGAGAATCAATTTTTCGGTCAAGAAAAATTGCATTATTCCTGTAGCATTTACTATAGTGAAGGAAGTTGGTGTTGTGAGAGCTCTAGTTTGAGATTCTCACTTTTATAATCTTTGTAATTTCTTGTGGTTAAATAAGAAATTAATTGTGTGGCTCCCGTGGACGTAGGCAAATTTGCCGAACCACGTATATCTGTTGTCTCGTCTCCTTTAATTACTGTTTTATCTGTGTAGTTGTTTATTGCTTGTATTTTGAGTTTGGCTTAAACTCAAGCTAGGATTGTTTTCTCTCAGAATTAATTTACTTATGCGGCGGTACGAGCGTCTCGCGCTCCCAACAATTAGTATCAGAGCTGTTGTTCAGATTGGAGGTGGTGAAATTTTTGATTTGAGGTGGTGCTTGATTATTGTTGAAATTCCTAAGAGACGCGGATTTATTAATACAAACGGAGAATGACGTCTACAAGTAAAACAGTTAAAATGGGAAAGTATGAGATCGAGAAATTCAATGGGAAGAATGATTTTTCCTACTGGAGGATGCAGATGAAAAATTCATTGATTTTGCAAAAATTACACAAGGCGTTGGTTGGAAAAGAGAAGCACAAGAATATGTCTGATGACGATTGGGAGGAGCTGGATCTGAAAGCACGGGCGTCGATTATCCTTTGCCTTAAAAGGGATGTTGCCTTCTTGGTGGACGGAGAGGAAACGGCTGCGGACATGTGGTTAAAGTTAGAGAGCACCTTCATGACGAAGAGTCTAACAAACCGGATCTATTTAAAATCCAAATTGTACACTTGCAAGATGGAGGAAGGCTCGTCAATCCGGGAGTACATCAACAAGTTCGATAGGATCTTATCGGATTTAAAAGACATTGAGGTGACAGTGAAAGACGAGGATCAGGCTCTTCTACTACTTCTATCTCTGCCAAAGTCTTATGAGAATCTGGTTCAAACACTGATGCTTATGGGTGATAGTTTGTCGATGGATGAGACTAGAACGGCGCTTCTAGCAGATGATCTTTGAAAAATTACAACTAGTGATATGGCCACTAGTGGTAACAAAGAACAAGCGTAGGGGTTCTTTGCCAGAGGAAGAGGCAATGAGCGAGGAAAAGGCAAGGGAGAAAAGTCTAGATCAAAATCAAGACCTCTTACGGAAAGACCGTGTTTCAAATGCGGTGAGCTAGGGCATTTCAAAGTCAATGGTGATACACCCTATCGGGTGTGGTCAGGGGAGCATGCAGATTATAAGAGGCTCAGAATCTTCGGATGTACCGCCTACTATCACGTCAATGAGGGAAAACTTGATGCGAGGGCCAAGAAGGTAATTTTCTTGGGGTATGCAAAGGGCATAAAAGGCTACCGTCTTTGGTGTACAGAAGATTCAAAGTTCGTGATCAGCAGGGACGTTACCTTTGATGAGAAGTCCATGATTGCTAGGGTGCCCAAGGATGATGGTGTTGACACTGTTGGGAATTCTAAGTCCCAGGTTATTAAGGTAGAACCTAAATACCAACCAGGTTCTAGTCGTGTTCAAGTAGGAAATCAGGTAGATGATGAGCTTGAGCAAGAGGAGGTTCAACATGAGAATATACAGGCACTTCAACAACAGCAACTCGAGGATAGCTTGGCTTCCACTAGGCCAAGACGAGCATACAAGCAGGTACAGAAGCTGGGGGCTGATAAACCCTTGAAGCACTATGAGCTGGGGGCTGATAAACCCCTGAAACACTATGGGCAGGTTAATTTGGTTGAGTACGCACTCTCGGTGGAGGAAGATGAGCCGGTCTCCTTCAAAGAAGCTATTCGGGGTAGAGATAGCGAGAGTTGGTTGGCTGCAATGGAGAAGGAGATGGAATCCCTCCGGAAGAACCAAACATGGGAGGTGGTCCCATTGCCCGTAGGAAAGAAAGCTATAGGTTGTAAGTGACTGTATAAAAGAAAGGAAGATCCTTCAGAGCTTGGTGGTACGAGGTACAAGGCGAGGCTAGTGGCTAAGGGGTTTGCACAAAGAGAGGGTGTTGATTACAATGAGATATTTTTTCCGGTGGTGAAACACACTTCTATTCGGGTGCTATTGAGTATTGTTGCTCATGGTGATCTCGAGCTGGAACAACTCGATGTCAAAACGGCCTTCTTGCATGGAGACTTGGAGGAGGAAATTTATATGCATCAGCCTGAGGGTTACAAGGTTGAGGATAATGAGAGTCATGTATGTCGCTTGAGGAAATCACCTTATGGATTGAAGCAATCTCCGCGACAGTGGTACAAGCGATTTGACTCCTTCATGCTGAAGCATGAGTTTTCCCGAAGCGACTATGATTGTTTTGTTTACATTCGGAAGCTTCGTGGAGGTGATTATATCTATCTCCTTTTATATGTGGATGACATGCTTATTGCATCGAAGAACAAGGTGGAGATAAATAAGCTGAAATCTCAACTTAGCAAAGAGTTCGAGATGAAGGACATGAGCGCTGTAAAGAAAATACTGGGTATGGAGATTAGAAGAGAGCGGACGAATCAGCGATTGTTCTTGAGTCAGAAGGGCTACATAGAGCGAGTGATCGCGAGGTTCGGGATGCAAAGTGCAAAGTTGGTGGTGACCCCATTGGCTGCACACTTTAGGCTTTCAGGTAAACAATCTCTCACTACAGCAGAAGATAAAGCACACATGGAGCGTGTTCCCTATGCTAGTGCAGTTGGCAGTTTGATGTACGCAATGGTGTGTACACGTCCAAATATTTCACAGGCAGTTAGTGTGGTCAGCAGGTTCACGGCGAATCCGGGAAAGGCACAATGAGAAGCAGTGAAATGGGTCCTGAGGTACTTGAAAGGTACCGCGGATACGGGTCTGTGTTTTGGTGGAGATACATGTCAGATCGACGGGTATGTGGACTCAGATTATGCGGGCGATCTAGATAGATGACGATCTACTACTGGTTATGTATTCAGGATACATGGAGCTCCAGTTAGTTGGCGATCGATGTTGCAGGCTACAGTGACACTTTCTACAACAGAGGCCGAGTACATGGCCATGGCAGAGGGAGTGAAGGAAGCATTGTGACTGTGGGGTCTTCTAGAAGATTTGGGGATTGAGCAGGAGAGCGTGAACTTGTGGTGCGACAGTCAAAGTGCGATTCATTTGGCGAAGAATCAAGTTCACCATGCTCGTATCAAGCATATCGACGTTAAATATCATTTTGTGCGGGATGTCATAGAGGAAGACGATATTTCTCTCATGAAGGTGCATACGAATGAGAATCCCGCTGACATGTTAACCAAGGTGGTCACAGGTAGCAAGTTCCAGCATTGCTTGGACTTGCTTCATATCAGCCCGTGTTGATCTGCCCAAGAAGGCAGTAGTAGAACTACGGCTAGCTTGATCCCGGTGGAGGGTACGTAGGCAGCCACAGTATAGTGGCGCAGTTGGTTTGACCTATTTGATCTTCTGGTGTTCGTCTAAAATTTGAGGTTTATCAAATGATGGACGAGGTGGAGAATTGTAAAAGAACTTACCTCATCGGAGATCGGAGCCCTCGACGGCGACGGCGGAGGGGGGCACAGAGGACTGAGATCGGTGCCTTCGACGGCGAAGCTCAAAGGGCGACGAGGTCGCCTGAAGGCGAGGAGGTGAACTCGCCTGTTTGGCGAGCTGAGGTCGCCTGCGGGAGTGGTGCTCGCCTGCGTGGTGAGCGAGTGAATCTCGCCTATAACTGAGGCCTAGATTTCGCCTGATCAAGTGCGGACGAGAACTCGCTTGTTGTTGCCTTGGAGCTCGCCTGCCGGTGGAAAACAGCTGGAGCTTGAGCTAGGGTTTCCCTATAAAAAGGAAACCTTGTTCACACGATTCAGTGAGCGGAACTTTTCAACAGAGAAGAAAATTTTCTCTATGGTGCCAGCTTTTACTTCCAGCGGATATTCTCTGATTTGAGAATCAATTTTTCGGTCAAGAAAAATTACATTATTCCTATAGCATTTACTACAGTGAAGGAAGTTGGTGTTGTGAGAGCTCTAGTTTGAGATTCTCGCTTTTATAAGCTTTGTAATTTCTTGTGGTTAAATAAGAAATTAATTGTGTGGCTCCCGTGGACGTAGGCAAATTTACCGAACCACGTATATCTGTTGTCTCGTCTCCTTTAATTACTGTTTTATCTGCGTAGTCGTTTATTGCTTGTATTGGTTAGTTTGAGTTTGGCTTAAACTCAAGCTAGGATTGTTTTCTTTCGGAATTAATTTGCTTCCGCGGCGGTACGAGCGTCTTGCCTTGCGCTCCCAACATCACCAATACAATATTCTCTTTCCACCGGTATTTTACCTGTTTATACTAATTTTGTGTACTGTTTGCACTGCTTTAAAATTGATGTCGGAACATATGTGGTGTTCTTCTCAATCTCCGTATTGACTTTCCATAGAGAAACTCTATGATGCTCTCAATCTCTGTACGGACAAGTTCCCTGTTAAAAATGGCTCTTCGAATTTGATCATTCATTCATATAAGATTATCAATACTAAGAGATCATTCTTAGATAAAATGAAAAAAAAGTATAAGACTTTTTGAGAGCAGTGAGCATAGCTGCATACATATGAAGGGCACAGCTAATGCCAACGCTGCGTACGGATACCCTGGACTGTGGGTTTGGGAAGAGAATGACGGGCAATTGATACCTGCATGAGAAAGAAAATGAAATGCTGTTCACATACAGGCTTCACTAATGATGAAACATCATTATGCAGGAATTTTGTGTTTGTCATCAGCATACCATGAAGTTGCATATAATGTGATGGAAGATCTGTATGCATTTCATCATATTCTACAACGCAATAAGACAAGGAATTTTCTCTTGAAGAAAGCCTATCTTCGTAAATCATTTCCATTATCATCCAAAAATATACAACTCCAATCTTTGTAAAAGCTGTTCTATGACAGGCCAAAATCATTACAAGCATAACCCTTCAATAATAACTACGATTACTGAATGATAAAAGTTAAGTCACCCAAGTTACACTAGACCTTCAGGAAGCAAAATAATTTGGCTTCCAAGAAGACTCGCCTTCAACTCCTAATAATTTATGAGATGCACCAAAAAACCAACGGTTTTGCTATTATTGTTGCAAGGTGACATGCAATTTTCACTTCCACTTTTCCCAGTATCTTACTACAGTCTCCACATCTAAAATCCTGCAAACAGATACATGCAACATTTAAGCCGGCATTGGACCAAAAAAGAAAAGAGTGTCAAAATGAATTAGGTGGTTTATGCCTGGGAGGATCATGGAGATCAAGCTAGCTTATCAAGTGAAGTTTCAACTCTCTACCTATTGAGTAAAAATGACAGCACGTAGCAGCAGGGACGTTACTTTAAAGTTTACTGATTACGCTGATGGGGTATTCTAATTGCAATTGATATTTAGCTATTTGCACAATGTTACTGATTGTACGGATTTGACTGGTTTAAAATTGGTTTGAAAATTGAAAGCTACACACATGGAAATTTTAGTCTGAGCCTATGTTGCAAGGGTATGGGTACGGGTGGGTGTGCGGACATGAAAACGGGTGTAGATACGGGACATGACTAATTTGTAAAAGATAGGATATGGGAACATGACTATATTTACATATGGAAATTAATAATAAAAACGAGATCAATATCGTTTTTTTCTTGTCAACATGTTATGACGAAAAAAAACCTCTTTGACATTTTAATGTTTCTTTTATTGAATAGATTATAAATTGAAAAACTTGCTCATTTTTTAACTAGACTAGATACCGAATGATCATTTAACATCATATACTTATGAACTGTGTATAGGTCGAACGACCCAACAAGTTGCAGAAATTTGAGGTGAAGTGTAAGATATATGTCCAAGAAATGTACTATGAGCGTTTTAAACTAAAATATGTAATATATAAGTGTTATTTGCATATATACCCCTTAAATCATGGGTAGTTACAAACATACCCTCCAAATCTTAGTATCTACAAAACCACCCCTCATATCATCAAATTTGTGAAAAAATAACCCTAAAATCAACAAAACATCAACTTTGTGAAAAAACACCCCTAAAATCAATAAATCATCAACTTGGTGCTAAAAATTTTACTGTCAAATTTTGTTGATAATTTTTACATTGATTAGCTTGTAAAAGTTGATGATTAATTGCTTTGAGGGTAATTTTTTCCAAAATCGATGACTTGGTGAGTAGTTTTGAAAATACTTAGATTTGGAGGGTATTTTTACAAATACCCATAACTTAAGGGGTATTTATGCAAATAACCCAATGTAATTGAGCACACGTCTGAATATATGTGTATACGTTCAAGAAGTGTCAAAGGAGTGTCAGACACGAACACGAATATGGAAGTGTCCGACACAGATACAGTAACCAAGATGAAGTGTCTGGGTAACTTTGGTATGAGCTAACTTTGGATCAGTCAAGGAACTACTCACTAAAGCAGAAGCAAGATTCTATACACTTAGGCCCTGTTTGGTTTGAAGGAAAGTAAAGAAAAGGAAAAGAAAATGCAATAGAAAATATCTTTCTCTTGTTTGGTTTGGAAGAAAATGAAAAAGAAACTGAATGTTAAAATCACCCAAGAAAGTTCCATATAATCTCAGTTCGCTTCCCGTTTCCCGACTCAAACGGAGAGAAAATGACAGAGAGGGAGAGAAAATCTCGCCCGACACCTCCTTGAAAAATCCCGACTCCATCCCCGACCTAGTCGACGCCATCTGTATTCGTGGGTCGTCGATCAAACCCTAGTGCTCTCTGATCCTCTCCAGATTCGTGGTTGTCAACATGAATCCAAAATCATCGTCAGAGGTAAATTCTACTCATAGTGTTCGAGCAAACCCTAAATTCTACTCATATTTAAAGAGGAGAACAACATCCAAAATGTAAGTACACACATTTTTTTTTTTGTAATTTGGTCGAAGTTTTTAGTTTTTTATGTATTGGATTTCGATTATCCTGGCAAAATGTGCATTCCTTTATTTGTGCTTTTGAGTGTTGTGGGACAAAACCCAGAGTCAAATTTTTTTTACTTTATTATCTTTAATCTCTTATATTTTGATTATAAGGAATTTCGAGGTATGATGGTCTAATTTAATGGCAGAAACTCTAATGCTAATATGGGTGAATTCTTTGTATTGTATATCATTCTTTTTTTGGGTTGAGACCTCTTTGTGTTATTATTCTTGCAAATATGTATTCCATTGTTAGTAATTTTTGCTCTATTTTTGCTGTAATTTCTTAATTATGTTGTGGTTTAAGTATATGGAATTTGGAAATGTGATATAGTATTTTCAGTGCTAGAAATGATGATGAAAATGTAGGCGAATTTGGTATCGGTCCATTTAGGGAAGATGCTAGTACTCACTTACTAGAGGATGGGCTACTATCACCATCTTCAAAGACTCGGACGGCAGAAACACCTGCCATTTTCCGGTGCCTATAATTACTAAATTATATTCTGAAAATATTTAGTTGTTTGCTTGAATCTTATCAAGTGTAATTTGCTCTTCTCTGTGGAGCTGTTCAGATTCCTTATGTTGGATAAAGATTTCTTGGTTGAACATAGATTGACATTGAGGGCAATGTAAGCCGAGATATTTTCTAAGTTTTTGACAATGAAATTCTTGTTAGATTGCAACCCAAGCTAAGGGCTCTCGATGATTATGTTTCAGGTCAGAGTTTGGAGCTTTCATGGTCTTATATTATCTGTGTGACCGCACGGGTCTATTTGAAGAATCAAAAAGGGGAGTTTTTATTAGCATTTTGAGATGGAGTATTTGAAGAAACATTAAACCATAAATCATAATTATTCTATGTAAACCTGTTCAGTATTAAAAAGGGAAAAAACTGAATTTTTGTCCTCCAAGAATACAAATTTTACCATATATATAACGCCTAGAGTGTTAAAGACGTAAACAAGAGGATTGAGAATGAGGTACTGGAGTCTAATCCTTGAAGGGGCACCAAAGGGTACAAACTTATTATAAAACTAAGCTATAAGTGAACATTTAAGTTAGAATAAAAAAAGATAAACTCATCCTAAATTTGATGAAGCGAGTCTTAAGTGCTTTTAAGTAGCCTTCAGTCCCTTATTTTGTGTTACCTTTATTGAGGTATTCTATTATGAGTTGTTGATGGCACTAGGTGGACCGAACAAAGTCATTTAACATGTGTTGAAATTGATGCCATGACCATAGCTAGAATATGTTATGTTCAGCCAAAATAGCAGAAAATGGAAAAGAAAACTAAATTCACACTATGTTTGTACTCATCAACAAATTTGAGAGTACATCTCTCCACGATAGTTGTTGTATGCAAGGGTGAAGGTTCAGGTTGCAGTTGACTGATGCATTAAGTGCTAATACTTTTATAAACATCTATAAATGTCATTTGATATGTATGGATGGAAAACTAAAACAACTTTATGCACATCCTCAAGGAAAGACTTTTAATCGTGGGAACTCAAGTTAATTGGACATTTGTATTTAAATTCTTTGCTATTGCTTTCTGCTTCAGGAATTTCCTTATTCTTTTTCTTCATCATCAAGCTATACTATAGTTATCTTTCTATTTCATGTTTCTCCTAATTGTTCATACATCCATCTTGACTAAACCATTCTACTTCATGGACCATTCTATTTCATGTTTCTCCTAATTGTACACTAATTACAGTGAATTGCATGAATCATTCTATTTCATGTTTCACCTTCTTGGCAACCTAATTGTACACTAATTACCCTAATTCAGGTGTCAATTTTCTGAACTGTTTTCTAGTAATTCAGGTGTAAGTAGGTCATTGAAAGGGTGGTAGTTAGAACTGTTTTCAGCCTCGTTCTGAACTGGAAATGTATCGAACTATCGATGTAAGGACATAGAATGTGTTGTAACTGTAAATGTTGAGCATCTCTCCATAGACTTACTGTTTATATATGGGTCTGAAGCCATGATACTTGTGGCAAACACACATGGTGATCCCAGTTCAAATTTGTGACTGTCTAATAAGATCTCACAGTTTCTTCTATCTAATAAGATCTGCCGGTTTCTATCTTCAGACCTACTTACAGAGATGAGGTATCTACTTGATTTTTGAGTTTGAACTTGTCTTAAGACTGATTCAAACGCGTAGTGATTTTTTTGTCTGCTATAATTCAAACTTGATGAACGTCCTATAATTCAAATACATAGTGAATTTTTTGTTACAAGAACTAGTGTATGAAAAGGTTGTGTAAAATCTTTGTTGAACATCCTATATGGACTTTGTCAGATCACCTGTTGTATGTTTATGTTGGTTCAGTCATCATCTATATAAGAAGAGAATAATTTCCTTATTTCATTATAGTTTTAGTATTTTGGGTTATTGGAATTCAAAAAGTGAGATGTGATCAAGTTAGTTTTACTACACGTTCAGATTATTCTGTGAACCTAGGCTAATTCAAAGGCCTATTAGTTTAGACCACATGCATTGATTAGTGTACCTTTTTTGCTAATTATCTGTTATATGCCTAATGTTTCTTATTGATTTCAAAGGCCATTGGGTCTCAGATTTCAAAGCCTATAGTTTGACATTCATCAGCACTATTGGTATGTGTCTTGACTTCGGTCTTAGACATAACTGTAGCTAATGATCAGGTGCCAAGTAATTAGGGCTCTAGTGGTTATGAATCTGTCAAAGTTCTTTCACTTATAATGCTAGTTTTGGCTGTCTACAAGCCACTTCCATCATTTCTGATGATTAGTCTTAAGAAAAGAACCATGATACGATGAGTGGTAATTTCATTTTGCTTCTAAAAGAATGTTAAGACTTCATTTTATAGGTTTTTGACATTTATATTCTACTTATTTGAACTTTTTTTGAATTAATTTCAGGGTGCGAGATTGATGTTTTGATGGGCTCACTAAAGCCAAAAACTAAGGACTTCGGCATATTTTCTGTGTCTCTATTTGGTTAAGATTCTCTATATGAAACTGATTGTAATAGAATTTGTTGGTTAAGATCTTCTATATGAAATTGATTGTAATAGACTTTGTTGGTTAAGATTTTTTATATGAAATTGATTGTAATAGGCTTTGTGACTAGAAATGAATTATACTTTATATTAGGAATATCATGACATTTACTTTAGAGTTGTTTTCTTGAGTTAAGATTGTGCAAACATGTTCGGTAACTTGTAAATTTTTTAAAAATATGATAGAATCACAATTTAATTTAATTATTTATTTGTAAATTATTTAAAATCTAAATCTAATTCCAAAAAGTATGAATTAAAATTATGTTGTGATAATTTTCTTCATCTTTTTCTCAGAAAAGTAACTAAACAAGAGAAAATGACTTTCTTATGAATTTTCTTCTAACTTTCCTGACAATATTCTTTCTAACCAAACAATAAAAAGAATATCATTTTCTTTTCTTTTTCTTTTCCTTTCTTTTTACTTTCTCTTTCTTTTTCTTTTCTCTCCCTTTCTCTCAAACCAAACATAGCCTTAGTGGATTATACAGAAGGAAAGAACAAACACTTAAATACATGGGTAACTCTCATGCTAGACTCATTGATTCACTGTTGGTCTATAATGTAATAGACGGACAAAACAAATAAGGGACCTGAGATAAATAAAACCAGTGATATTTCATCGCTGTTGCGTTTTATGGAGATTGAAAAGATTATAAATTTGGGCATCCAACTCCACTTTTTTGTGAATTAAAAAGTTCCGGTCAGGTCTGCTACCAGCCTAGCTGTGAGCTTTTTTGTTATGGTTGAATTTAGAGTTGAAATTTAGCAGATAAGCACAATATGTGAAAGCGGACTATTAGACACAAACTGAGGCAATACCAGAGGCTCAAACCTGGAATAATGTCAAATAAACTATTCATGTGTGGTAGGCAAGGTTGATCTATTCTGTTGTCTGGCTCTGTCAAGCAAAATCAAACAGAAAATTAGGATATAATCAATGAGGTGCAGTGTCAACAATCAAGGAACAGAATGCAAGCACAATCCTTGGAGGTTCATGAAAGAATGGTATTTCAAAATAAATTTGTACTGATCTGAGTTACCTTAGGTTGCAGAATCTTCCTACTTTCACTGAAATACTGGTTAGGATGGTTGATACCAGATTCACAAGAAGTAGCATGAATAGCTTCGAAAGTCAACGTACATGCTAGCTGGAAAATGATAAAACAACGTGAATTATTCAAGTGAAAAGGACCAGAAAAGATAACAAACAAAAAGGAACAATGAAGAGGCTTAAATATTTTTACTTGATAATGATGATTTCGAGCCTTATCAATTACATCTTCCAGTGTGTGTCCCCCTACCCCCATTTTACCAAGAGCAGCTCTAAGATTTTCCTCGCTGAGAACAAAGCATTTGATAATTGATAACAGTAAATAAGAAAGACCCTTAAGCCCACAATAAACTAAGCAGCACAATTCAGCACTTTGCAGTTCAGGCTTAATAATGTAAAACCCAAAAGATGCAAGTAAATCACAAATATGTAGCAGCAAAAAAAAAAAAAAAAGAGGAAAAAGACTAAACTCAAAACCAATATGGGAATAAGTGAGAAGCAGGAATCTGGATCAATAAAAAGATTACGAGACAAAAACACTGCAAAGATAAATCTCCTATGCACAAATTAGTTAACCATCAATAGCAAGATATATAGAAAGACTATTAAAGAGGACCAGCTAAGGGTGCGATAAAAGCATAAAATAAGCCCAAATTATAGGTTGTGAAGTATAAACAACACCAAAAACATCTTGAAAGCTTTCATCAATCATGCAGTATAATCCAATCCAAACATTGAAATGTATGGATAGCAGTTTTAATTTCTCTATTATTCGATATATGTTTGGAGTTTCAAATGCCCCATAATTTTGAATCAGAATCAATTGATGCATGCAATAAGTCTACTATGCAGACATAGACCAGTGCAATAAAGAATAATGCTGTTACTCACATCTAGTGATTGATCAGGCTGAATATTATCAAGTATACAAAAGAAATTTATAAGCCAACTAATTATCATATAAAAACTTGCCTGGAAATAATTGATAATAGCAATAACAAAGTAACTTCTACTTCTATGTGACCAAAAGCAAAAAAAGATAGTGTTAGTCCAAACTAAACAAATTGACATGAGACCATACCTAAAATGTCGATAAGGGCAGCCGTGATCACCAGACCCAGTTGTGGATGAGATAATCTTTTGACAGGAATACGGCGTATAATCCTGAAGCATGCAAAACAACATAAATGTAAGAGTATTATGCAAACTAATTCTTTGATGCATTTCCTTCAGAAAGATTCTGCTCATGCAAGTTCAAGCAGCCTTACAGTCCTCTTTCCTTCTTTCCCATAGTTATGCCGAATGCTGTATGCATATTCTTTGTCAAACCTCTCAGTGTTAACCTAAGCCATAAATAATAAAATAATTCAGCACTAGCATAAGTCAATATCTTAGATACACATCATGCTGGTAGTTAGGTGATACTATTCTAACACAGTTTGACATCTGATACCTAAGAAATGCAAAGTAACATGTAGCTATTGTATACAGTATTCAATAACCATAGTAGATTCAGTACCAAATTGTCAAATTAGGCTACATCAAGTTCATTTATCGAAAGAAAAAATAGCGTACATTGATAGCAAAATTTAGTGCAAACTACACGGTGGTGCCTTCTGACAAGTAACCCTTACACAGTATTTCAATATACAACTTATAAATATAGATTAACATGGGATTATTCCCAGTACCAGTCAACTCATAAGTATCGCTAGGTATCATCCAATGCTGTTATGCAGATGGAAGACAGTATTTAAGTAGTTGTCTTTAAGTTAGATGCATGCCATTCACAATAAGGATGACCACACAAAAGATTAGGCCGGTTGTCAGAGATATCTGAATCAGGAGAAGGGCCAAGATGGAAACCACTAAGGCAGTTAGCATTTGGCTAATTCAATCACCATCCTACATCAACCCTTTATTCGTTCGTTTCAAGTTCTTCTTAGAGGATTATAGGCATACAACAGGAACCACATTTAGCCAATTAATTAATCGATTGTGGTTTAAGCTCGTCCTGAGCAACAAATGATGTGAGGTCAGTTGAAGATCAGGAAAAGAAAAATCTCTCAGAGAAAATGTGAAAAGCCAAGATACCTATTAGGGATCATATATTGTCATATCATTGTCACATATTCCCATATCATGCCTATGGTAATGAGTACATGCTAATTACTACAGAAATTTGTCAACGTAGTAAACATCGTATATTGAGCTCAACCAAGATGATCCAACTGATCCAAATTTTTACAGGCATTGAAATCTTTAATGACCAAGTTGCAGATAATCAGTAGGATTGAAGTATAAAATAGGCTGCATAGCTGTCTAAATTTATTTTCAATCAAAACTATGATTCCATTAAATTGGATCCAAGCAATCTAAAGCTAAGCTTGTTATCATAAAATTTTGAGTCTATTGTAAGTCATGAATTAACATTAAAAGAAGTTAACTGTAAGTGTGATGAGATGAATATAAAAATTCAAGCTATTCATTTTAATTAGATAAATCTGTATTGGAAGAGATGAATAGCTTGGATCAAAAAGTCCAAGCTTTGTGCTGCATCTATTCACATGATGTATGAATTGCAAAATCATGCATAAATAATTCATACAATGAGAGGTGAACTTGGAATCCTTAAAAGCCTATCAAGTCTTACTAAGAGATCAAGAAGCATAGGAGAGATTACATCAATGGATTTGACTGCCACTTGAAAAATGATAGCCCCAAATTACAGTTAAAGCAGAAAAACAAATGTTACCTAGTACGACCAGTTAAGTACAGTACCCATTTTAAAATATATTCAAAATTTAGAATGCGTGCAACCCACATGAGTACCAAATTTTGAAGTCAACTTACTGTCAAATCTAAGGCCTTACTAGGATTAGTAAGTTTTTAAATAACAAGGATTAATGATGATACTTTCAATTGGAAAATAGAATCCTGTTGTACATAATAAGGTTTTTTATAATTGTTATTGAGACCATACAATAAATACAAATACCTTGCACAGGAAGTTTACCATTCTTCCCTTGTCTCTGACTCTATTCCATTGGTGTCTAATGTTAGATGTATTATGGGGGAAAGCCCCTAATCACGTTTATCACACACAATCAAGTAGACTTCATTCAAAGTTATTCTGGACTACAAAAGTTCTAATGGAGATTAGTAAGAGGAATAATTGACTGGTGTAAATAAACTTCTTAGAATCAAATAACCAAATCTAGTGCTAATGTTGTCTAATTGCACTGACAAGGAATCCCTGTTGATCTGTAGTCCACGCTTCATCCAGATTCAGTTAGGCAAGTATAAGTTTTGTTAACATGGATCAATCATGCATGAGTTTGAGAATTGAATACTCCGGTATAGTAAAAAAAACCTTTAAACTTCGCACGAGAAACTCAGTATCCGTGCTTAGTTGGAATCATCTTGTCTATGCTATTGAAGGTTTATCAGGTTTAAACACCGTAAACAAAATGACCGATGAAAAGCAACACAATTATCTGGCAAAATTATCGAGTTCATATAGAACAGTGATAATAATTGTTAACGTGAAATGCATGAAAGGAAAATAGTGAATATCATAAGTGAAATACAGTTTAAGAGGCATTTCAAAGCAATGAACCTTTGGAGAAAACTCAGCTCTCCAGAAAGCAAGAGCATCCTCCAATTTCAGGCCAACACCCTGAACAGGAAGGGAAAAAAGAAGATTTTGAAAGATGTTAGAACTTAAACCAAGTTAGAGGCAGTTATGTCATCAAAAAAAAAGTTAGGCAGTTATAAGTATTTAAGAAATACATAATGCTTTCATCAACTGATTTAACTTCGTGAAATTTCGCTAAAAAAATCATCTTCTATAGTAGATAGGCACTAGGGCACACTCCATTAAATCTCAATTAAGCTCAACCTAGCTTTTTTGACAGTCCTAGTGGGCACATGCATTCTAGGAATTAAATTTTGATTTTGATTAAGGGTCCCATTCTAAGAAGGTATGCGTTCTCTTATTGGCAGCTTTATCGCATAAACCTCAGGCAAGGTACAAACTTCAATTATTTACCATAATAGGACTGTAATCTTAGATTCTGTAGATGGTACTTTGTTGAAAACAGGTAAATATAGCCTGTAGAATTTCTCTAGAAGCTTCATATGTACCCTATGAATTATATTAGCTAGCTGGATAAGTTTTTGACGTATCTGGCGGGTTCATTTTTGGTCATGCCAATAGCATAAACATCTGGAAACAGATCTTCCGAGAGGATAACAGATGTCTAATAACTGAAGCACCAAGAACAAAAAGGCAAAGAATGAATCTCCAGCTTAAGAATGAATTATTAATCCTCAAATTTGCAAATGATTCAAGGTAAAAAGATGATTGCCTTAAGAAAAAGACCCAGTTGCATCCTCCCTCCATGCTTCAAATGATGGTCTTCCCTTAGCTGCACAATGATAGAGCGGCTGATAATTCAGAAAAAGGGAAAAACAGAAACAAGCTGGAGAGACAAATAACCAATATAATGTACAAGATTTAGCTCTTTTACCTTGTCAAATAAATGTCGCATGCAAAGAGGGAAAGAACTACTAGCCAGTTGCTCAATGTCCTTTAGAGAAATATCAGCATATTCTTTTGGCTGCAGCAAGTAGTGGTGCTCAGAAAACAAGTGAATTCAAGGTATCAGGTAATAGAGAGGAATTTTATGGTACCTGAGAATAGTCAGGTCCCAGATAACTTGTGCTGAGGGCTTCCACCATCTAGTTTAGTAAAGAAGCTCAATAACCAAATAATTGACTTTATAAGAATAAGCTGGTTGATGAAATGATACTTACAGGTTTCAACCTATCTCTTTCGTGCACCATGATGGTCAGCCATTTACTGCAAGGCGGCATATAATAATTTATGACAAAAAATAAAGTATGATTTACATGTAAAGCAGTCACAAGAATAATCCTGGTGGCTGAGGTAAGAGGAGGCCATCAAGAAACATACCCACACTATGGGGAAAACCATAAATTCCAATGCCTTTTCAATTTCCTACTGATATTCACCTTGAATAGGACCCCTTAACCCTTGAGTTGAGACATCTTAACTCTTGCTACGTGAGTTAAATTCAATACTGATGATACAATGTGAAAGGTGCGTAACAAGGCATCATAAAACCATATATAGATTTTTCATGAATGTAGCGTAATTACCATGTAGTAATCTCCTAGTGAATACCACGATGACATCAAGTCTTCACATGAAGAATTTATTAGGACCAAATATCTGATAGTCAAAACACTCAAGATACAATTCAGGAGAGAGAAATAAATGAATTTAAGAACGCCAACATGCAATTAACCACATGTCCTAATTTCTTTATTCTTTTTAATATTGTCCTTCTTCCTTTTCTTTTTATTCATCAGTTTGTAGCGTAAAACAGCAGCAGATCATTCAAGATTTAAAACATATAATTGTATTAGCAATTTCACTCAGATTTAATAAACAGCAAACAGTTAAAAAGTGTAAAATGCGATTAAAGTAGATAAGACCAAAATAGTGCTTCCATGTCTGGCTTCCTAAAAGATGTCAAACCAGTAGTCAGACGATTTGTGAAAATTCAGTAAGATTAAAAGGTGAGATGGAGTTTTGAACTTGCAATGTAGTAGTTAATGCTTCACCGTGCAGAATGTAACATCATTTATATAAAGATTTATCATATTAGTGAACATAAGCAATGTGACTTAAAATATTAACAAATCCTCAGATTTATTGAGGTGCATTATGGGAAATTCTTAACTTTTGCATAAGATAATTTGAACCAATAAGTCATCTCATATATAATAGGTAAGAAAATCCTGTGATTTCTAAATAAATAAACAAGGTAGGTTCAAGCAAAAGTTCTTTTATAGCATCTAAGAAAGATGGAAAAGTGAAAGTTCACTCTTTCAAGAAAAATAAGTCAATGATATTTCAGGTTCTTCTTTGAATGACTATATTGTAATTCAGGCAGCATCATCATTTAACGAAAGCGGCAAGCTTATATGCCATTAGGCCCATTACTATAAAAATACAGATAAATATACATCCACACAAGCATCATAGTTGGTTTCTCGTCTCTCAAGCAAATGCCTTAAAAACAATAGAATTGACAATTTTCACCATTGATTTAATATAAACATATCAAGACAATTGATATTTGAAGGTTTAAACCGTCAATGGTACCAATGCTTAGGACAGAAACTGCAACTAATAATGATTAAAAATAAAACAAAATCATATGAAACCTGTTGGTCAGATCAAGAGCCTTGGATAAGGTACTCTGGAAGTGAGTGACAAGAAGAGATACCACCTGATTCAATTATGAAAAGATCATGATAAGCCTTGTAGCTTTAGATGGAGATGCCAAAGATGAAAATTAGTAAATACCTGATTCATGGCAACATAAGCATAACCTTTGCGAAGGAAAACTCTGCGGCTTGCAACAAGATCGGGCACTTCCTCAAAGGGTACCTTCGAGCGAGAATACAAGAAAACTAAGATGAAAATATAATATGCAAGAACGAAGAAAGAGGTGGTGAAGACAAGTGACAAAAAGTTGGGAGGAAAAGCAAACCTTGAAGAAGATGGTATCAGCTGTTAAAAACAAAAATTTAGGAGTATTAGAATGGATAAGAAGATAAAATGATAATTCTATCAGCTGCACAATTGTACTCTTAGACCAATTGAAGTTCCTGTCTAAGTTGATTAAGGTGAGGCCTATGATAAAGAGAAGACTTCACATCAAAGGACACTTCAACAGAGAATACTCAATGTAAGTGTCAGGAACTGTCACATACTTACTGGCCTCACCGTGTCACATGGCTCAGAAAATTGCATGCCATTTTTCTGGACTCTCAAAAGACAAACTGAGTAAGTGTTGAGTCGCAGAGACCCACGAACAAGATGGACTAGGCTAATCAATCCGATCCAAATTGTCTCAAAATGATTTAACCCTAAATTGAGTCATGAATCAAAACAAATTTGACCAAATATTCACCTTATTCTTCCAATTCGGGAATGAGGCTAATCTCATTGCATGAATATTCAGTCCAAACCCGCACTTGAATTGCATGGGTAGATACTCCTAACAAGTCTCCACCTTGGCTCAAAATCAGTTCTTGTACAACTTGAATAAAGTATATAAGACTTAATGGAGATAGTATCTCACCTTAACACTTTGCAAATAAACCCAGTTTCCCAAGAAACAACTGTAACAAACCTAAGCAAGCTCACACCGTGTGGATCAAGTTATTGTTGTCATATGGAACTTCATGTGTCTTCTACCTTAAGTCCTAATCCATGTCAAGAGAGTTTTGAATCAAGCAGAGCATCAAAACCCATTGAACCATGGGCTCAGATACCATCTGTTAGCTAGCAAAGTCTAGTGATCAGATATGCACTAGGTTAATCTACTTGGACAAAAATTGGCTGAAAAAGATTAACGATTAATGAGTCACGAGTCTTTATGTATTTAACCATATATTCATCTACTTGTTTTTCAGTGTCGGATCAAATCTCATCTCATGCTTGGTAGACCAAACCTACGCTCATACTGAATGGATGTGAGGTATTACTAACAATAATAGTCATTATGGCTTGGCTCAGTGGTAAAGAAGTGGGCTTGGGTTATGGGAGCTGCAATGTACGCGACAAATTTAAGGTGTTTGCTCAAAAAATAGATCAATAGATAAATAACAAGAAAAGCTAAAAACTAGCACTAGAGCAGACAAGTTGCTTGAAGCCCCCCAATCTGATTTATTGGTATCTTCTAACCCATGAAGAAACAAGGACGTTCCAAGAGTAAAGTACGCTTCTATATTGGGACCAATAAATATGTAGATGTGCACTCATTCACATGACCGTAGAGATAAATAAAACTTCCCACCTGTCTATAAGAATTCAACATATTTCACCAACTAGGAGGATGCAACTCACTGAAAGAAAGAAACCTTCCCAACCCTCAAGATGGGGGAGAATTCAGTCCTTTCCCATAAAGAAAAATAAGAAAAATTATCACCCCTTCCTCCTTTATCCCCACTGTCTATTGGAAAATCTACAATGTGTTTCTCCTATATTGTATGCCAGTTGTCATGGATCGTGTCCGCTTGGACGTATGTTCTTCAGGGTATTGCAGGTGGAAATATACTAACTAATTACCAAAATGGTTACACTTTTTAATGTTACATCTCAAAAACCTCTTGCATAGGTAACCGAAAACACAGGTCAGTGATATATTCCCTATAACTGTAGCATAAATTGTGTTTCAGCATTCAATTTCAGTTCCCCACATGTCTCAGATTGAGTTGGCTGAATCCAAGGAAATGTGAATTGTCTGGCACATAACATATGGTAAAAAAAATACATTGACAGATATGAAAAAACCTTACTACTTTTCAAGTGTCTTACATGATGTATATTAATGATATGTACATGCATTCAACCATTGTGACAACTAATTAATATTTATAATTGTCGCGTAATTTAAGGCTGGATAGCACATACATATGGAAGTTTGACTGATAGAACGTGCTACTTGAACCAGTTTATCCTTCACAGTCTGCAGAAACACAAATCACAACAGTAGATAACAATTCAACACAAGGTTATAGACAAAGAAAGAACCTTTGTATTATAAATGAAATATGTTGAATCAACAAACCTCATATTCCGCAGAACCAATTGGTTTATTTGTAATATTAAATTCAGACATGATCATCTTCTACAAAATGAAAACAGAAAATTATTGTCAAATACAAAATCTTTGAGTTCAATTGAAGCTTAAAACCTCAAAAGAACAGTGTTATATACCTGGGATTCATAACTTTCAGCTCGATATCTACAGCGGAAAAGTGTGGTCTCCATTTGAAGAAACCACTTTCTCAACTCCTCCCTAGAAATGTTGTAATGATCAAGTAATCTAACCACATAATACAAGCAATCTCTAACTTTTAAATGAGCTTGGCATTAGTCAGAAACTCACGATCTACAATACACAAGTCGAAGTACAAAATGTGATATTATGTCCTTCTTTGTGATTTCTGATGGATCTTGGTGCCTCATGTTTGCTCGCCACAGCTCTTCAACCTAATTACTCACAAACGTTTAAAACTGAAAGTTTCATTTCACAATTGAGATGGAAGTAAGATAAAAGGGTTTGCCCACTACCCTGTGGGAATTGACCCTGCAAATCTAGATATTTGCTAATTTACACCCCCAAATCTACCGCATCTAGTTAAATAACCGCCCAAATCTTACAATTACTTTCAGACACAAAGGATTCAAAATGGTTTTGGGAAAAAAAATCTCAGATTTGTCGTCACAACAGAGCAGCTAGACAGCTCTTATGTGGTAGAATTGGGGGGTAAATTGTCAAATATCTAGATTTCAGTGATAAATTCGCAAGTAAAGTTGATTATGGGTGTATAAGTAAAACCCCCCAAAAAAATACCAATTTTTCCATCTCATCAGGCTTCTTCCCACGGGATAATCCATCAGAGATCCCCTTCAGAACTACACAGAGAAATCCAAAGAGTTAACAGATTGGAAGAATAACCCTAGGCCTACGAGATCTGAAATAAAAGGGAAACCCTAGAAATTACCTCGGAGGCGATCGATGGCATAGAGCTCGAAATCGTCGATGCGAACTTCAATATCGGGGGCGGAGCGATAAAGGGGGATGCTTCTCGGAGTTTGCGCTTCCGCAGTTGAAGCTCTTTTCGATCGAAGAATCTCCATGGATTTCTCGAGAGAGAGAGAGAGAGAGGGGTAAAGAGAGAACTGGGGAAGAAATGATGGAGATTTTGGCGGCTGGCATTTTATGGCGAGGCGGGATTTGGCGGGAAGAAATAATAAGAATCCACACCGCATTGCCATATGGGCCTGGCGCACGCCCAACCAAGCCCGGCTAGGGGTGCCAAATCGTATCCGTATCCGAAGAAATATCCGTAATCGTATGAATATGGTTACTCAAATATATAACCGATAGGATATGGTTACGGATATGGTTTTGTAGTGAAATATCTGTATCCGTATCCGAAAATATCTGAATACATATTGGTCATACTCTTACGATAGTTTCGATTCTTAGATTATGAATTCATGGTTAATTTTGATGATCAAGATGTCTAATCTTAGCTTTTCAATAATAATGAATATATTAACGAACTCTTTTTGTATCACATGACTATATTTTTCTGAATACTATCTAGTTTTCTCATATCCTTTTTGTATCCGCATGCATATCCGTTTATATATCCGCATCTATATCCGTAACCGTATCCGATTTCCGTAACCGTATCCGATTTTTCTTACCGACATATATCTGTATCCGAAATTGGTAAGTGGATATGGATATGATAAATATCATATCCGAACCGTATCCGCTCCATTAACACCCCTAAGCCCGGCCCACGAGATGGGACGGGAAAGAAAATAAAAACAGAAAGGGTGGTCAGAGAGTAACAAGCAGGATGGAGTAGGGTGGCGACTTCGAATCGAATAGAATGCTTTGATGTTGGTACTCGTATTGAGAGAGAGAGAGAGAGATTAAAAATTTGAACAAAAATCTCATCCTTACGCCCCCCGTACAAAACCTTTCCCTTTCAGAAGAGATCATCAGATAAAAAAAAAAAAAAAAAACCCCC